CCTTCAGACCCTCTTCCACGTGAAGAAGAAAACCTCCTAAGATTAAAGGATCATACCATTAAATTTCCCATGCATGATGGTGGGGATCTGGAGTTGCCTGAACTCAAACCTTTTACAACTAGCGTCCCTACGTGGATGAGCTCATAAAGTTAATTCACGTAACCATTCACTATCCACCAACTCCTGTGGTTACCCATTCATCACAAAGTTGTCGTTGAAGGAGCATACAGTAATGGTATTGATATGTTCACTGAATGCTACACTAGTCCCACCCATTGACAACTACCACTATGGACAAGTTATGCGTACTAACGCAGGACCTCAACTTGAGGGGTTGGAGGGCATCCAGTATAACCAAAATGTTGTAGCTTCTAGACTCTGTGGATTAAGCAGGTCAAGTATTTTCCCAGCCTGGTTCAGGAATTCAATCTACCGCAGAAGGAACTATTTCAATACTTACAAATAAAAAACTTACTGTCTTCTCAGGACAGAGAGATAAAGTTATAGATCCCTAACGCTTTCGCTTACATGTGCATCCACACAACGAGGCCAGCATCATTATAATATAGATCGCTCCAGGCAAAACAATAGGATGCAAAGTTGCCACATATGTTGCGCGGGGAGGAGGAGTTGGGTGCCAATAATTCTCAAAAGGAATGGTAAAAGGCTTTTGAACAGACACGGGGCACATCTTGCTATGTACAGCATTAGGAATCCTATTGTAAACTTATAATGCAATGGTACCTCACATCCAGTAGGTAAGCTCACATATTAACGGGAAGGAATACCATCACTATGCTGGCGTTGCAAATTTGCAACTGGTTCCCTCTTACACATTTTTTGGTCCTGTTTGACCTTGTGAAATTTCTAGGACAAATTCAAGGGATCGACATATAACAAGTTCCATCTGATTTGGGAAGGTTGGCAAAGATACATGAAAAATTAAGAGAAGGAAGGGGGAGAATGGAAGCCCCACGCGCAGGTGGTTGAGGTGGTGAGCAAAAAATTATTAGTGTAAACGATGTACAAATATCCACTGTTGATTGTGTATTGTACATGTGGCAAGCTTGTACAAGGCTGGTTGTTGTACCATACAATGTATTTCTCATTCCTTTTTCTTTTCTGTATCCCTGTTTATATTTGTCACGCACAATGAAAAATGTCACTAAAATTTTAATTTGCAAAAAAACAACAATTTGAAACAGCATGTAGACCCAGTTGTGAGTCCTGACCCAGATATTAAAGGAACACTGTAGTCACCAGAACAACTACAGCTTATTGAATTTGTTCTGGTGAGTAGAATCATTACCTTCAGGCTTTTTGCAGTAAACACTGTCTTTTCAGAGAAAATGCAGTGTTTATATTACAGACTAGTGATAACTTCACTGGCCACTCCTTAGATGGCTGTTAGAGATCCTTCCTGGGTCACGGCTGCCTAAAATGCATCCAAACATTCAGTGTCTCCTCCCTCTGCATGCAGACACTGAACTTTCCTCATAGAGATTCATTGATTCAGTTCATCTCTATGAGGAGATGCTGATTGGCCAGGGCTGTGTTTGAATCATGCTGGCTCTGCCCCTGATCTGCCTCTTTGTCAGTCTCAGGCAATCCTATTAGGAAGCATTGTGATTGGATCAGGCCACCACTTCAGCTTTTTCTGAGTCTACCAGCATGCAGAGCTAAAGCTTCAGGCTTGAATAAAGTTTATTTATTTATTTATTTATTTATAAAATATTTTACCAGGAAAGACACATTGAGATTTCTCTCGTTTTCAAGTATGTCCTGGGTCCACAAATCATTGCATTGTTTCATTAGGGTACAATAAAATACAAAAACAATATTAATACACAATAAATACAAAATTTAACATAGAACAGGTAGGAAATATATAATTAACCATAACAGGTGCATTCTGTTTTGAGGTATGTAGAGAGGGATTTCTTAAAGGACTTTAGGCTTAGGGATGATTTTAAATTGTGCGGGAGGTCGTTCCACAATTGCGGTGCTCTGTAGGAGAAGGAGGATCGGGCCGTTTTCTTTTTGTATTGGGGTAGACTAAGTAAAGTGTTGGTACTGGATCAGAGCTTATAGGAAGTGGGAACTGCTGGGGAAAGTATTTTGTTCAGGTAGGGTGGGAATTTCCCAGAAAAGCTCTTAAACACAAAGCTGGAAAGATGAAGGGTGCGTCTGGATTCCAGCGACAGACAGTTTAGTTCTTTTAGCATGTCACAATGGTGGGTCCTGTAATTACATTGTAGCACAAATCGGCAGAACGAGTTATACAATGTGCTGAGTTTATTAATGTGGGATTGTGATGCAGATGCATATACTACATCCCCATAATCAATGATTGGCATCAGCATTTGCTGTACAATCTTTTCCTTTACTGTAGGGCTTAGGCAGGATTGTTTCTGTACAGGCACCTAGTTTTGGATAAAGTTTAGATGCAAGCTTTTCTATGTGTAGGCCAAAGGATAGATTGGGGTCCAGTGGCGGATCCAGAGCCTGATCTCGGGAGGGGCACTTGTAGATTATTTAAAGAAATAATCCAGACACAATACCCACTACAGCTCAGTGTAGTGGTTATGGTGTCAATAGTGCCAGGACCCCCTCCCAGAGTAAGTAGTCAAACCGTTTAAGAACAGTTTGACAACTTACCTGAGGTCTGCTGGGAAATGGGGCTATAGTAGGGCATAGGAGCAGTGGTGTGTGTGAGTGCTGCAATGTGTAAGGGGTGCAGTGTGTGTGTGTGTGGGGGGGCAGTGTGTGTATGAGGGTAGTGTATGTGTGTAGAGTGTGTGTGTTGTTTTTTTTTATTTTTATTTAATTAAAATAAATATACATTATGTCTCCCCTCCCTTCTTACCTTTACTGGGAGGAGGGGGGACATTTCTCCATCCCTGGTGGTCTGGTGGGGAATATATATATATATATAGTCGGGTCCATAAATATTGGGACATCGACACAATTCTGATATTTTTGGCTCTAGACACCAACACAATGGGTAACAAGTAACTCTATATCGAAGTAAAAATGTTCTAAAATGGGAGGTTGCGTTAGTGTCTGGGGTGTTCGTGTAAGTCTTATTTTCCTTTTTGCACGATGTCTGCACTATCAGTTTGATAGGATATACTTTCTAATCTAGAAATGTTTGATGATTGACAAGGAAGTTGCAAACTTTAGGCCACAGTAGCCAATCTGGGAAAAATAGATTAACTATTTTTTTCTTGTGTTTATTTTCCACAACTGAATGTTTTGTGAATAACCCTTATGTGTTAGGGCCCCATGGTGTGCATATGATGATAATATAAAAAGAGATACACTTACAGTGTATAGAACAATCAGTTAGCTCTATTTAAATAAAATGTCTGCATTTACACTTAGTCCTCTTTAAATTTAAATCAAATATCACCTGAATTCATACTGAGATCTGCCTAGCCAGTTCTCACAGTCCCTGACCATGCAGGCATTTTAATACTTCTGTACCAAAATTACACTACCTGGTCGCTGGTCCAGGAATCCAGGCTAGGGTTCAGAGGGCTAGTCGTGGCTAGTAGCTAGTAGTGCTGTCACGGCTGTGGCTGTGGCTGTCACTGCTGTGGCTGTGGCTGTGCTCAGGCAGCTCTCAGTACAGTACACACAGTACTGTCTCCGATCTCCGCGGCTCCTCCGACGCCGCATGCAGCGCCCCTCCCCCACTAATATATACCGCGCTGAGTCTGAGCGCCGGCGTGTGACGTCACCGGCGCTCAGCTGTGCAGCGATAGCCGACAGCCCGCACGTTAGACTGGCGGCGCCGGCGGAATAGGGAAGTAGGGCGAGCAGGAGCCCTCTCTCACTATATTCTCGGGTGGGGGGGCAATTGCCCCGTTGCCGGATCCACCAATGTTGGGGTCTTAAATCATACCCAAGTATTTGAAAGAGTGGTCAGTGTGCCATTTGAATTTGTTTTGATGGTGGGAATTGTGTAATTTGTGTAATTTAGGTACTGTTCCAAAGATCATTGTGACAGTTTTGTCAGTGTTCAGGAAGAGTTTGTTTTTTGCAATCCACCTTTCTACCTCTGTAAACTGGTCTTGGAGCACAGCCTCAAGTTGCGGTAGATCGGATTTGCTCGCATAGATTACCGTGTCATCTGCGTACATGTGTACATTTGAGGATTTGCAGACATTAGGCAGATCATTTATAAATAATGTAAATAGTAGGGGACCGAGAATGGAACCCTGGGGAACACCACATGTGACTGGGAGAGGGAGGGAGTCGCTGTCAGAAATGGACACATATTGCTATATTTATGGAGGCATGAGGGGCCCAGGGGGGGCTAGATGGTGGTTTTAACACTATAGGGTCAGGAATGCATGTTTGTGTTCCTGACCCTATAGTGATCCTTTAACCCCTTAAGGGCACATGTGTGACATGTCATGATTCCCTTTTATTCCAGAAGTTTGGTCCTTAAGGGGTTAAAGAGGATCTGTCAAAGCCTGACTCCACCGTTGTCATTGGTGACAGGTGCTTGGACCGGACAAAATTTAACAAAGGTACCGCCCCTCCTTTTGTCAACTTTTGCCAACCTTAGGCTTTACAATAAGATAAAGTAGTTCCTAATTTGTCTTATGATAATTTTGGATTGCGTTGGATTTTCAGAGAAATTCAAACACAGTCTTATTCAGTATTTCATAAAGATCTTAAGTAGGGGCACATTTTCTACAAGGTAGCCTAGATACCTGCTTAAAATGCGATTTTAAAAAGGGTGCTGGGAAAGGCAAATACTCTATCTGCAATTCTTTTCAACTTTGTTTGATACTGCCCACATACCATCTACTTCTTCCAAAATCATACTTTTTGTTTTATGTAGGGATATCTAATTTCTTACCTCCTTTTGGGTACCTGGAATGTAAATTAAGGCTGTATGCCTTATGCCCAGTCTGCATACTGACTTATGGCTGTTCTGTAATTGCTGATTATTTTATTGTGTATTTTATTGTTGCAGGCTATTGTGACTGAGAGTTCATAGGTTAGAGTTTCTGTACTCAATTACTGATCCAAGTATTTTGATGTCATATCTTTTATGTAAACAGTGATTCTCTTAAAGTGACCTGTTACAGTGGACATGTGAAGTGAACTTTATTCACACACTAAGTTTAATGTGTATATATTGTGTAGCTAAATGGCCAGTAAACATACATGGATTAAAAAATAAATAAACCACAAGCACTCACATGGTTTAACATGTACTGGCATAATGCATGTTTAGCTCACTGTATAAAGGTTATATCTTATGTACATAGTGCAGAGGAAGATGATGCAATCTCCATCTTAAATAAATGTCTACATTTGGAGCTATTTGTCTAACACAGCCTGTAAAACAAATATTATATATAACGAAACACCTTGTTTTTGTGGCCTCCCCCGTTTATTAACTTTGCTTTTGTATGTTCTTGCACACACCATTCCCATCACTGACAGCCATCCTGAAAATATTGTCCTCGGTGACATCGTAGAGTACTGTGAAGGTGGGGTGTTCACAATGAGTACATGTGAGAATTAGTGAGGGCGAGTAAGTGCACCAGGGGTTAAGGAAGCAGATTTGGAGAGGGAGCTCTGTGATTGGCTAAGCACTTGGCAGCGTCTCCTCACACTCCCTGCAATGCAGCGGCTTATTCACTGCAGCTCCCAGCTCAGAGAGGCAAACCCCAGGGAGTAGCAGAGGGGAGTCCTCAATAACCCTAACTCTAGTATGGGGGGAGCACTGTCCCAGAAAAGGAAGGGGCAACAAAATACCTGCACTGGGTGAGTAACTCAATTATTTTACCATGTATAATGTACTGGGCTATAAACATGCTGCCTCTCAGAAATCTATAATAAGGATTGAGCTGCATGTTACAGCAATGCTGAGAATTCCACAAACATTTTGTAGAATGTATAGAAACTTACTAGCCAAGTGAGTAAAAACTGAGTGTCTCTGTGCAGAGATTATTGTATATATGTTTATACATCTATTATAATTCAACCCCTAATGATGACTGTACTGCAATGTATAATTATGTGGAGTATCTTTACTTTATAACATGTTAAACTGTCAGGTGATAAATGTCAGTTAATAAACATGTAGTGTGTTATAATGCAGGTTATCCACATAAAGTGTATGTAATATGCTGAATCCAGACAGGTTGATTG